AAACTCTATACTCTCATCCAGTGATTGGCCCCTACTGGTGACACATCAAAAACAAGCTAATGGTACAATGTTCTATTGTGATACATTAGGTTTTTAGTTACTAATTTTAAACTAAAGTATGTGGTTTGAATATGCCAGCCACTCTATGGGAGAGAGAAGGACAATCTCCTCCTATGCTAATTGTTGTTGCTGTTGTTAGGTGCCATCGAGTTGAATACTAACCCTATGAACAAAAGAGAACCCTGTTCTGTCTTGTTTCATCCTCACACTTCCTGACACACAACAGCCTATTGCAATAGTCACTGTGTCAATCCACCTGGTCGAAGGTCTTCCTCTCCTTCGCTAAACCTCCACCCTTCCCAGCATCATGTCCTTCTCCAAGGAATAGCTCTTCTTAGCAACATGCCCAAAGTTTGTGCGGCAAAGCCTCATCATTCTTGCATCTAAAGAGCACTCAGGCTGCATCTTCTCCAAGACATATCAGTTTGTTCTTTTGGCCATCGATGAGATGTTCAGTGCTCTTCTCCAACACCACAGCTCAAAGGCATCAACTCTTCTGTCATCCGTCTGCATTGTCCAGGTCTCAGATGCATAGCAGGTAATCAGAAAGACTATGGCCTGAATCAGATGCACTGTAGTCTTCAAACCGGAATAATTACTCCTCAGTAATTTGGAGAGGTCACTAACTGCAGATTTACCCAGTGCAATACATCTCCTTATTTCTTGACTACTGGTACCAAGGATATTAATTATGGACCTAAGCTAGATGAAGCTGTTGTCAGTTTCAATCTCCTCTCTTATCATGATATAACCCATCGGTCTAGTGGTAAGAACCTTTCTTTTCTTGACATTGAGATGCAATCTATACCAAAGACTGCGTTCTTTGATCTTCTGCAACAAGTGCTTCAAGTCCTCCTCACTTTCAGCAAGCAGGATTGTGCCATCTGCATAACATAGGTTATTGCTGAGTCTCCAGCCAATCCTGATGCCACACCTCTCTTCAGAGAGTCCAGCTTCTCGAATAATTTGCTCAATATACAGATTTAAAAGGTATGGAGAGAGACTATAACTCTGACACATTCTATATATTTTTTTTATATTTTAATGAAAGTTTATAAAGAACTTGGATTTCCATTTATTCACTGTTCCACGTTTTCCTCCCTGTCCCCCCTCTCCCAACCCCATTCACTTTTTTCTTTGGGGAAAAAAGGTCTTTCATTGTTATACAGTTACTCCCACCCAACCACTTTACTATGCAACTCTTATTCTGGACTCCTGTCATGCCAAGAATACCTAATCATATATTCCTTTTATATAGTTTTCTCTCTCATCTGTTTCAATGCCATGTATGCAGTGTTTCCCTGCTCTGTTTACACAACAGCAACCTGGTCCAGGTATAGGGGGGTGTTTTTTGGGGGGGGGTTGTGTGTGTGTTGTTTTTTTTTTATTCAGGTATGCTGTTGTTTTTATGTGCCATTGAGTCGCTTGTGACTCATAGCGACCCTATGTACAACAGCCCTAAACCCTGCTCTATCCTGTGCCAATCTCACTGTCTCTGACACACCGGTCCCGATTACCCCAGTCACTGAATCAATCCACCTCATAGAAGGTCTTCCCTTTCTGCACCATCCCTCCAACCTCCCAAGCATGATGTCCCTCTCCAAGGACCGGTCCCTCCTTACAACATGTCCAAAGTATGTCAGACGAAGCCTCAGAATCCTTGCCTCCAAGGAGCAGCCTGGTTTAACCCTCTCTAGGATGAATCTGTTTGTTTTCTTGGCAGTCCAGGGTACATTCAATACTCTTCTCCAGCGCCAGAGCTCAAAGGCATCAGTTCTCCTTCTATCCTCCTTAGTCATTGTCCAACTCTCTGATGCATAACAAGTGATTGCAAAGACCATAGCCTGTATCAGACGCACCTTAGTCTCCAGAGTGACACCATTGCTCTTCAGTACCCTGGAGAGGTCCCTAACAGCAGACTTTCCCATGGCAATACGTTTTTTTATTTCCTGGCTACTGGTGCCAAGAGTGTTGACTGTGGAGCCAAGCAGACTAAAGTTAGTAACAATCTCAATCTCTTCACCATCCATCCTGATACTGCCAATTGGTCCAGTGGTGAGAATCTTTGTCTCCTTGACATTGAGCTTCAATTCATACTGAAGGCTGCAGTCCTTGACCCTCTGCAGCAAGCATTTTAGGTCCTCCTCAGTTTCAGCAAGCAGGGTTGTGTCATCTGCATAATGCAGATTGTTAATAGATCTTCCACCAATCCTGACGCCACACTTCTCCTCATAGAGCCCAGCCTCTCGGATAATCTGTTCTGCATACAGGTTGAAAAGGTATGGTTTTGTGTAATCAGAATTAAGTGCTCTGGGACTCCCATTCTTCTCAATGTCAACCATAAAGTGTTATGATCCACACAGTAAAATGCCTTTGCATAGTCAATAAAGCACCAATAGACATTCTTCTTGTATTCTTTACTTTCAGCCTGGATCCACCTAACATCAGCAATGATATCCCTGGTGCCCCAGCCTCTTCTAAATCCTACTTGAAGTTCTGAATGTTCCCTATCTATGTACTGTTCTGTTTTTAATGATTCTTCAGCTATATTTTGCTTGCATGTGAAATTAATGATATTGCTGAATAGTTGCTACATTCATTTGGATCACCCATGTGATTTACTGCCTCTGAAAACCCACCAGAGGGTCAGCTATGGGTCAATTCTCACTCGATGGCACACTACAACAAATTTAGACAAGGGGAAGTTATGGTGGCTGAGTGGTAATGAGTTGCTCTGCCAACAAAAAGTCATGTGGTTCAAATCCACCAACTGCTCCACAAGAGGATGATGGGCAATCTTCTTCTGTGTGATTTACAGCCTCTGAAAAACCACTGATCACTTGTGAGTCTGATCCACCTCAACAGCACATAACAACAACAATTTTAGATACTTATTAACAACCATTAAGTCAATTCTGACTCATAGCAACCTACCATTGGGTTTCCAAATCTGTAAATTTTTATGGGAGAAGGTTGCTCATCTTTTCCCCTTGAGGCTGCTGGTGAACCTGAACTACTAGAGTCCTGTGTTGTTTTGTTTAGTAGGACATAGTCCATACTGTGTCTCTCATAAAGTCACTATGAGCCAAAATCGACACAATGGCAGTGACTTTGTGGTGTTGCTGGGGTGTGGTTTTTTTTCCTTTTTGTAATTTTTGGAGGTGTGTCACCAGGCCTTTCCTTCTAGTCTCTTTGTCTAGAACGTCAAGTAGTCTTTCTTCACTCTCTTATTTGAAATTGTTTCCTTGTTCCCTGAGGCCTTCCACATCAGCGCCTATATTTTACAGACCTGAAGGGAAGTTCAGGGAAAGATGTGTTTTGTCTACAGTCATATGAGAGGTCATCTCGGGAGTCATCGGCAAAAATGAGACTAGAGCTTTAGGTCTTATTTCCAACTTTCCAGACAGTCTCTCCCCACGGCCTCAGAGCATGGTGTTGATGGAGAATATTAGACATACCATAGACTGCCAGGAGAATAAACAAATCTGTCTTCAGCCAGAAAAAGCAGTACAGCAAGAATGCTCCTTAGAAGCGTAGATGGTGAGTTTGTCTCACCTACTTTGGACACGTTGTCAGGAAAGGCCCTGTAGAAGGACACCATGCTTGGTAGAGAGTGGGTTAAAAAGATGAATACTTTCAACAAGATGGATTTAGATGCTGGCTGCAATAATGGGCTCAAGCACAGCAACGATTGTCAGGATGGGACGACACTAAGTGGTGTTTCGTTCTGTTGGAACCAACTCCCCCGCACCTAACAACGACAACATGAACAGGGATATATATCCTGCCACCCCCAGGTCCCTAGAGCCCAAGACTCTACCGCTTCCTGGATACTTGGCTCTTTTGCATTTCTTTTCTGATTCGACCAATCCCCAGACAACCCGCCCTCGCTTTTAACAGACTCCCCAGAAGCTCCTCCCTTGCACGTGGCCCAGCCTGGGGATCTCTGCTCCTCTTTCGCCCCCTGTTTGAGATGTAGGGTGCCTTCTCACTCTCGGGAGCTCTCGGCTGCCAGTCCAGCCGGAATGCCTGGCAAGGCTTTGGGGAGACCCCCAAGTGCGGGAGGAGGTGTCCCCGGGGCCCTGAAACCTTCCAGACCTGCTCAGTGTAAACGGCCTCGGGTTTGTGTCAACATCCGAGGCCGGAGACTGGCGGCGGCTGGGGATCGGCTCTGTCTACGGGACGCGAAGATGAGAGGGTGGGGGATGTAGGGGTCCAGGAATGAGCGGAAAGGTCCTTCAAGGGGAGAGCCTGAGGGACCCACTAGTGGTCCGAGAGCCTGTCTGGAAAGGCACGGAAGTTAGGGATTGCAGCTGTGGCTAGAGGCAGTCCAGGGCTAGCCCCTCCCGGTCCACACCGCGCTGTCTGCGCCCACCACCCTCCTCTCTGCTCCTGGTCACGAGGGGAGGTGTGCGTGAGCGGCTGAGGAGAGAGCCTGGGCTGGTAGACCACTCCAGCTCTTCCGCCTCCCACCCACTTCCTCTGCAGCTCCTTGCTGCCCCCCTCCAGTTTCGGGTGGGATATGGGGAGGGGGTCGCATCTCGTGACTCATCTGCTCTTCCACCCCCACTCTCGCTGGGGCCCAGTAAGGGAGGGATTAGAGACTCTTCTGTGGCTCTCTGGTTTCCATAACAACGGCGTGGTTGTTTCTGCGAATCCCTTTCAATCGTTGACACGTTTCACCCCTGACTGCAGCCCGGGGTCTGAGCTTCAAGCGATCAGGGTACGACCCTCCTCCCTCCCTCTTCCTCCCAAGGTGGGGAAGGTCAGCGCCGGCGGGTGGGGAGCACTCCTCCATCCCGGCCTCGCGGGCCACCCCATCCCACCTGAAAGCCCGCCTGTCACTCTGCCCCAGCCAAGCCAATCGACGCCCAATATGTCCGGGATGAGGCGGGGCTTATGCAAATCGTGTGGCTTCTGAGAAGCTCTGAGTGATAAAAAAACTGGGAGGCGGCTCCGGTGCGGACCTGGTAGAGCACAGGCGACAGCTCCGGAGCCAGTCTTCGTCCCCGTGGCCACCGAGGCTCAGAACCACCCAGCGACCCGGCGAGCGGCCTCAGGTAACGTGGGTGGGGCGGGACCTCTTAGGTGCTCATCTGGGCCGAAGCCCCCTTGCCCTCTCCTCCACCACCTATTTCCATCCCCATCTCCATGCTCCTCTGATTCATCTCCTTACCCCTGGTTCCTCCATAGGCGTCAGTATCTTGAGGGCACGCCCTGAGGAGGCCCCCTACCCCCGCCACCTCAGCCCAGGCCTCAAGGGTCCTGGGACAGGAAAAGGCGCTGTCCACCTTACCCCCAGCTCTACTAAGAACTACTACCTTGGCCCTGAAGGCAGGCAGGCACACACACACACACACATACACACACACACCTGGGGGTGTGGCGTCGCTGGTGCTAAGGAAACAGTTACCCTTGCTCCTGTTGCTTTGACAATAAATAGGTTCCCAGCCCCATGGCAACTTCCACCTCCACACTAGCCCCCACCCACGCCACTCAGCCCCACCAGCATCTCACCAAACTTCACGTCACAGGGCCCCTGCCTCCAAAGACAGCCTCTACTTCCATAAATGCCCACTCCTACTCACATTGTCCCTCTGACTGTCCTCACCTCTCATCCCTCAACCTGACAGATTGCACAGGATACCCTGAGGGAGGAAAGATCAGTAAGAAACTCCCAGTTTCGCTTTTCAAAAACACACTCTTCCAATAGTTTGCCTGATGCTAGTCAAAGGCCCCTGTTTAGCCCTGTTTTTCAGTCCTGTGTGTTTTATGCCCTGATTGGTAACAGCCAAAGACATTACTCCCAGCAGACCACTCATGTGCTCCCTGTCATTGGTGCCAAGGTACAGGTCTCTAGGTCCCCATTTCTCTCACACCTCTCAGGCAAAGCACTTCTCTTTCTACCACTCAGATATTGTTCTCATTTGCACCCTCTCTGGACTTCTCAAGCTCAATGCTTGTCCTTCTATCTTCCTGCTTCCCTTGTGGGACCATGTCTTGTGGGACCATGCCAAAGCTCCAAGTGACTGTGTCACTCTTTTCCCTAAGGTGGGTGGACTGCACCTGGAGGGCAGGGCTGGGCTCAAATACTGCCTTTGCCCGAAGTTATAGTTTGGTTTTGGCTAAGTTACTTCACTGTCTGATCCATCATAAGACAGACAGATGGACTGGATAAGACAATCTTTAACAACCTTCCAACACCAACATGTTTAGTTTCTTTGGTAGACTATAGAGAAACAAGCACTCTTTCCATGAGGACATTTCAGAGAAAAGGTCTGAGGGGCTTCAGTCTTTACTTAGGGGGAACATTGCTTCTTACCAAGGCCATCTCCACCCATACAGTCCTCAGGCCCCTTCCATTTGGAGTGCCTTCTAGACCACCAGTCCACCGTGGCATGGATAGCTCTGAGATAGGGGCGATCAGTTGAGCAGCCCACCCTTCGTTTAGCATGGCAAGCCTCTCACTAGCTAGGAGAGGGAGAAGTCTTGCCCAGTTAAAGCCCAAAGACCTGGCTGCTGTTGCTGCTGCTATTGATGCTGCTTGAAGAAGAGCAAGGGGGGGGGGGATCTCCTGACCAGGGAGCTGTTGTCACTATGGCAACCGCCTCAGCACCAGCTCTTCTGAAGCTGGCGAGGGTGTGGGATTATTGCCTTCCTCGGCCCCTCCCACCCTCACTGCTACCTCTCCATTCTGAGCCCACAACCCTGAATCCTGCCCTGTGGGAGAAGGCTCCAAGAACAGAGGGGGCACTAGCCTGTGTACGGACTAGCGTCCTTCATAGCCGGAGGGCAGCCCTTAAGAGTTAAGTAGAGGAGCCTGCCCATATTGAGCAGGACCAGAGCTCCAATAGAAAATGCCCCCAGCTGGGCTCTGGCCTTCGCTTTGCTGTTGCTGAGCTCCGACTGACCTTGTGTGAACCCTTTCTTTCCCTGAGTCTGGGTTCCCTTGTCTCTGAAGTGGATATGATGGCAGGAGAGTGCAAATAAATAAAACAGCCTGACACAAGTCCCAAAGAGGAAGGAGGGGGTTCTGCCCGTCTCATGTAGTGCTGTGTCCTCAGGTCTCTGCAGGCAAGTTCTATGGAGCTGCAGAGAGCAAAAATGCAACCAGGGATAAGAAACTACAAGGGAGCAAACTTAAAATAAAGGGAAAGGGCTTTTCCTGCTGTCCAAATTGCTCTAATGTGGACAAGACCATATTGAGAACTTAAAATAAAGGGAAAGGGCTTTTCATGCTGTCCAAATTGCTCTAATGTGGACAAGACCATATTGAGAGGTAATAAACTCCTTAACATGGAACAAAAAGATCTGGGATCTATGCTGGCTCAGGCAAATGTTTGATGCAAACCAAACCAAATCAGGTTCCATCCTGTAATTCTAGAACAGCATCAGGTGAGAGTCAGAGAGCCCTGAAATCTACACACTGGTGGCGGCTGGATTTCATGGTCCTCAAAGCTGACTGTAGCCTGCATCGGCCTAGATATGGAACACAACTTAATGAATAGATGAGGTAGGTTCTGTGACAAACTTAGCTTAAAGGAAGTGTGGGATTGTGTGCAGAGTAGAAGGTGGTGAGGCTAGAAGTGGGCACTTTGAGGTCAGATTCTAGATGGCCTCAGAGTTTGAGAGAGCCCCTGAGTATGGCCACCTCTAGCTTATGTTGTATTCTGTGTAAAACTGAAGCAGGGGAATCTGAAGAAAAGATTCTCTCTGAGGCAGCTGCAGCTCATAGGTGTATTGTTTGACAGAGCCCGAGCTGTATTTCAGCCCCCTGACCATGGGGAGAGAGAGGACATAGAGAAGGTTCCCAAAGCACTTCAAAAGAAGAAACATCAGGATTTGATGAGAAGTTGGACCTAGGGAAAGGGAGAGGGGAAAACTGAAGATAATGAAGGTGATGAGAAAAAAGGGTAATGTAGAGAGAAAAGGACCAGCAAAGGCTACGATGAAGCTGATTGTATACATGCTGAGTCAGAGGTGCTGGTGGGCTAAAGGCTGGTATTTACTGGACATCAGAATTCTGACCTGAAGCTCAGAAAAGATGGTCCCACTAAAAACAAGAGGGAAATTAGAGCTGTGGATTTCCCAGAAGGCATGCAGTGATGAGGAAGGTGTATGCTGGACAATAAATAGTAGCATGATGGTCGGGGAGGGTCTAGGATAGTGATGAGAGACAGCCAAGGTGCTCACTTGGCCCATTCCATTGATCAGCCTTCACTAAAATAAAGGAATGATTTTAAAGAACCAAACTATACCTAAAGACAATAGAAAGAATGAGGAAAGTGAAGGAAGAGACAGTCTTCAGTGCCCTGGAAGCATTTGGGGACAGGAAGCAAATGAAGCCCAAGAGACAGAGAATTGTGGGCAGCATAGGGCAAGGAGGAAGGAAGGAGCAAAAGTGAGACCCACACAGACACTGTGACACACAGAGATGTGTGCGCTCTGACAGATTCACAGTCTCATACATTGACACCCTCCCACACACAGATCCAGTCCTCACGCAGACACCCAGGCACATTCCACAGGCGACAGTGAGGAGAGGCTCTGCTTCCACCATCAGACGCCTCAGCCTCTAGTTCTCTGGCTTCCTTGACTACATCCTGCCCTTTCCATATCCTTTAGACTTGGAGAGGGTGCAGCTGGAAGTGGATCCTGCCTCTTTTTGTTCATTTCTAAAGGCATCCTTGACATTGGCCCCAGTGTAAGCCATTCTGAAACCTGTGGCTCCAAGTTCCTGGAAATATACCTCTCCTGCCCCATCTCCTCCTGGTGGCATTGAGTTCTCATCTTCTCATGATGATAGGTGGGGGAAAATGTGGCTGCCATCTTTGCTATTTGATCTTTCTCATGGCTCAGTGGCAAAATCTGAAGGTATTCAGTAACTGGTTTGAGGTCACGCAGCAAGAAAGGAGAACCAGACCAACCACAGACCTGGTTATCTGGGGTGCCCCCATCTGTGAGGACCACTGGATAGGCTGTGGAAGTGGAATTCCTTCGATCAACCTGGGGATTACTTTCTCAAAGCACCTTGAGGAAAGGCTATTCTGGGATAGTAGACCCGACCTTCTTCCAACAAGATGCCAAATAGGCCAAAAGCACACCCTCACACACCCCACACCCCAGGCCAGATTCTGGGAACTCAGGCTCTGAAGGGACATTCCTTCCATAGACGGCAGACTGAGCGTCATTCAGACTTCAGGGCCTCGGGTGGGCTCAAGAGGAAGCGGCATATTCTAGCCAGGTATCTTGGTGAGGGTCTGCACCACCCTCTCAAAACACTTCCCTGGTAGAGGCCACTGAAGGGGCTCACATTCCAGATGGGAAAGACTCCTCATCCTCCCCAGACCTGCTCCTCAACAACATCTCTGTTCTCTCAGCCCTACAGCTCTCTCAACTCCTCTGTCTCTCTCACCCCACATTCTAATCAGTCACTGAATCCTGCCAATGCAACCATCTAACACCTCTCAGTCCATCCACATCTCTCCAAATCTTTCCCTAGGTCAGGCCTCACTATTTCCCACAGGTGCTGCTCTTTTTACTGGCCCCTGACCCCACATCATCATGCACACTGCAGCCAAAGGAAAAATTTAAAACAAATAACCAAGGTTATTTGCACCTAGTTCTGGGTCCTTGGCAGCTAGTTCAGGACCTGGCATACTATAGGCACTCCATGTTTATGGAATGAGTGTTATCTTTCTAGCACCTGCTGTGAAAATCTCTGAGTGCCTTCATGGTGGGTAAAGTCCAAAGCAGGCATTAAGGTCAGTGAGCCTCTCTGACAGGATCATGAGTTACTGAAGGCTAGCTAGGATCTGCTTTATCTCCATCACCAGCTCAATGCAGTCAGCCTCAATAAATGCACAGAGACTGAACTAATGAAAACAGAATGTAATCAGAGTCATCAAAACGACAAGCTATCTACATGGTTTCTATTTGTACTAAGGACGGAAGGAGAAAAGCCTCCTGCTGGATGGCCCAAAAAGGCTTCAGGAAGAACGTGGGCGACGCTGACAGAGGGGCACATGATGCATCTGCTCCAGGTGCAGTTAGAGAGAAACCTGCCCAGGTGGAGGCCAGAGTGGAAAGCTGTGACTAGCAAGGGATAGGATTTAAGACTGCATTCTGTGGAAATGGGGAGCTTTGAAGGTGTAAACAAGAGACAAAAGGATGTAGATTGTGGCATCCCAGCGAGAAAGAGAGTTGAGCCTTGCAAGGCTTGGAGACCTCGGAAGCCCCAGCATGGAATCCGCAGAGAGGCAGGAGGAGAGGCCTGATTTGCGAAGGTCGAAGGTCGCCTGATAAGGCGCATAGCATGATAGGGAATAGTCCTGCTGTAGAGAGAGGGAGAAGGTCGTGTTATGAGAAGAATAATGAAGGGAAGGGACCTGTGTGTAGGAGCGTGAACGGGGTAGGAGGATGGAAAGGACGGAACTCCTTCAGAGCAAAGATGGGACTTCCTGTGGGAGGGGGTGTGGCAGTGGGGAGGTGAGGCTTGTAGGAGGAGATGTAAGGGGTGGAGAGCCTACCGGGAAGAACGCAGTGGCATACAGGAAAGCAAGATGAGGGAGCCCTTTTCCCCCTAGGCCCCGCCATGGGGAAGACCAACAGTAAGCTGGCCCCAGAGGTGCTGGAGGACCTGGTTCAGAACACAGAGTTCAGCGAGCAGGAATTGAAGCAGTGGTACAAGGGCTTCCTGAAGGACTGTCCTAGCGGCATCCTCAACCTGGAGGAGTTCCAGCAGCTCTACATCAAGGTGGGTGGGCGGGCGGGGCAAGGTGCCTGGGACGGGGCGGGGCAGGGGACGGGTTGGGGTGGTGGAACCGGGCATGGGACCGGGGTGGCGGGTGCAGGGCAGGGTGGGCAGAGAGGGCTGGGGCGGCGGGCAGGGGATGGGGAAGAAGGGGGGAATAGGGGAGGAAGGAGGAACAGGGGAAGAAGGGGGAGGGGGGCGGGCAGGAAACCCAGGTGCAGGCAGGGGGCCTGAGTGGCCGGCGTGGGGCAGGGTAGGTAGGGAGCCGGGGTGTTGGGCGCGGTAGGCAGAGGACGCAGTGGGCGGGGAGTGGGGTGCCGGGGTGCCTGGCGGGCAGGGAACCGGGGTGCAGGGCAAGGAGAGGGGTGTGCGGCTGAGTGTCGGGCGTGACGGGACCGGGGCGTGGGGGGCGGGAAGGCGGGGCGAGCAGGGGCCCGGCTGAGAGGGACAAGCGTCCACCTGCACTTCCTTCCACGTTCCTCCGTGTCAGTTCTTCCCCTATGGCGACGCCTCCAAGTTCGCGCAACACGCCTTCCGCACCTTCGATAAGAACGGCGACGGAACCATCGACTTCCGGGAGTTCATCTGCGCCCTTTCGGTCACCTCCCGGGGCAGCTTCGAGCAGAAACTCAACTGGGCCTTTGAGATGTACGACCTCGACGGCGACGGACGCATCACGCGCCTGGAGATGCTGGAGATCATCGAGGTGCGCAGGGGCTGAACCTGAGAGGCTGGGGGCTGCAGGAGGGCGCCCGTGCGTCCTCTGCCAACCCCTCACCGACCCTGCATCCTCCCTGCATCCCAGCTCACCCACACCTCCCAGGTCCAGCTGCTAAATTAGCAATGATCCAATCAGTGCAGGACAGGCCTCATGCTAAGTGCAACCTTGTGAGGAAGAGGTACTGTTAGAAACCCCATTCTGCAGATGAGAAAACTGAGATACGGGTCACACACGATTCAATGCAGAACCATCATTCAAATCCAGGAACTTTTACCCCAGAACCTTATTAGGTGCCTTCCCCAAGCCCTATTCAAAATCCCTGCTTTCATGAGGCTTCCCATCTAATGAGAAGACCATTTAGATGTTTGAAGGACTAAAAAGTTCAGTGCAGAAAGAACAATATCTGAAAAGACAATGAGGCTAGACTGTGCTTGCAGTGTTCAAGGAGTGGCTGGGAAAACGGGTTTGTAGGAGTGGTAGGAGGTGACATGACAGGAGCCGGATCTCTGAACATGCATCTTAATTACAAGACCCGGATCTCTGAACATTCAACCCTAACAGAAATATCCCAAATAGGTGATATTAAAGATTAGAAACGTATTTTCTCGTTCTGGTGGCTGAACATCTAAATCTTAGTCCCAGCCATGCCAGTTTCTGTCTCTCAGTTTCTGTTGTCTACCAGTGATCCTTGGCATTCCTTCATGTTCCTTGGCATCTGTCTTCCCTCTGAGTATGTCTCTGGGTCTGTTCTGATCTTTTTATAACTCGGAAGTCACTAGGTTTAGGATCCACTCGATGCTAGCATAACTTCATTAACACAGCATAAGAAAACTCCAGTTTCCAAGCAGTTTTACATTCACAAGTACATGGGTTAAGATTTCAGTACCTGTTTTAGGGGGATACAGTTCAGACCATAACAATGTCTCTCTCCTATGCTGAGCTAGACTTCAAATTTATTCTGAGTACTGTAGGAAGCCATTAGAGGACTCTCGCCATGCTTCGTGTGGATAATAGACCATGATGGGATGAGAAGAAAGATCAGTTAAGAGACTATTACAGCAATCCAACCAAGAGCTGATGTAGACTACAACTATAGTGGGAGCAGTAGAAGTGGTGGGAAATGTCCCTGGCCTTTACCTAGACTGTTTGGGTATGGGTTCAATAGCAAAGCTAGGGCTGACAAGATTTGCTGAGGGATTATATGGGTGTAGGAGAAGGAGGGGAGTCTAGAATGTCTATAAGTCACTAATTGGTACAACTGCAAGAGCGCAGACACGGAATGCTGTGGGAGATGTGGACAGGAAGTGAAATTGGGTTTGGGGCATGCTTTCAGGTGCTGCCTAAGTAACCTATGTTAATGACGATGCTTCAACTTCCAGTATCCTCATCAAGCCCTTACCTCCAGGACCCAAACTTTTCCTTCCCCTTGTGGGTGCTCACCCTTTCCTCCTTATCTCACCAGGCTATCTACAAGATGGTGGGCACCGTGATCATGATGCGCATGAACCAGGACGGGCTCACTCCCCAGCAGCGTGTGGACAAGATCTTCAAGAAGATGGACCAGGATAAGGATGACCAGATTACGCTGGAGGAGTTCAAAGAGGCGGCCAAGAGCGACCCATCGATTGTGCTGCTGCTGCAGTGTGACATGCAGAAGTAGAGGCTGGTGAGGGGCAGGGCCCCTAGCCAGGAAGGGCATGGCCACCTCCCTGCGATGACCTCTCTGGCTGACCCTTCCCAGTGGGGAGGGGCATTCTGGCTTCAATCCCTGGCCCATCATTCCTCTGTCCAAACTCTTCCTCCCCTCAAGCAAGATCCGTGAGGGACCACCTCACCCTGCAAAAGAGACAGGTCCTTCATATCCTGTCATCTAGCCCCACCTCCAGGCTTGGCCCAGAACCAACATTCATTGGGCATAGGGGAGTTGGCTGTTGCCCCGAGAGACAGGGTTAAGAAGGGGGCCAGGGTCCTGCTTTGAAGTCCTGTCAGTTCCTGGGATTGAGCTTTATAGGATATGGCCCCATTGGCCCCAGGGAAAAGTCCACTTTGGATCTGTCTTATTTTAAGAACCCAGAACCCTTAGAGGCAGTCTTTGCCCTTTTCCTTCAACTCTGGCCCCAGCCTTTGGGGTGTTCATTTGATCCTTTGGTCAGCTAGTGTATAATGAGCACTTGTTCCAAGCCAGGCACTGTAGGTGCTAAAAATATGGTCCAGGCCTTCTTGAAGCTAGTAAGGTAGCAAGGCAGTTTTGTATAGACACAGTCTCCGAGGGTTCACAGCACAGCTGAGCCAGAGTAAGTAAGGAAGGCTAACTAGTTTGAGGAGATGATCTTCCAGTTGGTCTCTGCACAAAGCTGCAAAGGGATGTCACGGTTAGTGTTTAGAAGTTTAGGAAGCCATGTAAATGAGGAATAGTAGATATTTTGAAGAAAAAAGGAAATGTATTGAATACTTATTTTTTTAGTACCCTTTAAAAGAGCTGAAGCAATTTTATTAGTTTAGCATGCCAGAATATAGACTATATTTTACCTGGTGGTTTGTTAAACAAGTCAATGAATGTTGAAAATGCTAATTTTCAGGGAATAAAGAGCTAAAGGAAAGCAAAAAAAAAATGGTTAAAAATACCACCAAAGTTAGCAGGTAACACTTTACCCATTTTTTTTTCTTTATCAGTCCTCGTTATGAGCTGTCACCATCAGCAGTTTCTGCTGCTTCCTTTGTCTTGCAATGAAAAACTTTATTGTTCACCTACTGTGGTGGACAATTGTCTTCAAAGAATTTAAAAACAAAATAAAGCCAAACAAGATTTGTTGAGAGAAAGACAAGTATACTTCCCACATGTCATTTCAGAGTTTGGTCTAGTTTCTTGGATAAGCTGTTTTCACTGCCACAGAAGGAGCTGGAAGGAGACTTGGCCACTAGAGGCATCCTCTTTTTTAGGTTTTCCGGCTAATTCATGGACCAAAGGCCTAAAAATATACAGAATGTATGCCATTTGAAAGGTTTCTTTTCTAACCCGAATCTTAAATCTTCCAAGCAGTTCATCATCACCCTGGGCACTGGCTTTGCTCTCTGCTTTGGGTTCCATGTGCTATATTGGGTTCCATGTGCTATACAGCTGCATGCTTGACTGCCAGAAAAAGAAATCTTGCTTCTTCATCAAATCTTTCCCTTTCCTTTATCCTGTGCTTGTAATCAGAAGTTTGCTTTGCTGTGCAGTGACAGGTGATATCCTCTTGAACTGCTAGTGAAAACAGTCTAATACATACATGTGGTCAGGCAGGGTGAGGGTGGGGAATGATCTCTGCGGCAGCAGGGGGTGAGGGGGAATCACATCTGCTAGATGCTAACTTCTGGGTGCTCACCTGTCTGCTTCTCTGCAGGTGGGAACTCATGAGGATACTGACCTTGGCACCAAGTTCATTTACCTTCTTTCTTACAGTAGCAGCTCCTGGCCAACCAGGACCAACTTCTATCCTGCCTATGACCATACATACGATTAAGGTTGTAGAATTTGCATCTTCAGGCAGGATCTAGCAGCTTACTCTGGGTTGCTTCAAAGGACGTTCCTTTGTTCTCTGGAGCTGGCCGTTAGATGTGTCATGTCATGTGCTGTCAGTCAGCACCATAACGGCATAGATGCTCAACATGCTAGCTCATAGCTCAGTAGGGACCAGATCTTCTGCTTGAAGCCTTTTCACGAAGTAGATAGGCTTCCTTCCACTCAAACATTGAGGCCAACTTAACCCACAATTGCACCGATCTTCATAGTTTCCAAAGTCTTGTCATCTACCCTATCTTATCTATCCTTACAGCTCAGAAAAGTGGGGATTTCATTCCTTTCTTCCATACTTGGAATCAGAGGCTCAGAGAGGAAGAGCCCCTTGTGCAGAGACAGTCAGCAGGTGACACAGTGCCAAGATTTGAACCCAGGACTCTAGGAGAGGTCCTTCTCTTCTGAGCTTCCTCCCTACTCATTTCTCAGACTCTGAGGTTGATCGTAGGGTATGCTAACCTGGGAATGATCTTTTTGCATGCTTCTTGCTAAGAAGCTTCAGAAGCTATTGTCTTCCAAAAAATAAAATGGGCACTTACTGAAGCCTCACATTTTCAAGCATCCTATTTTCTGCTTCAGGGCAGTTGGCGAACAGGCCAGTGTTGCCCTGGAAAGCTCTGACTTAGAATCCTGGAAACATTTTGCACTTCCTTTACCATCATCTTCCTCCTAGAAAGAACTATTTTTGTCTTTTCTAAGCCAGTGGACAAGTCCTGTCCATGAAGGTATATTCGATCACTTCAAGCTTCTAGACGTATACCCATGGATGATCTTTTCTGGTCAGGCTCATAGCTTGCAACCTAGCAGTGTGAATACATAATGCCAGGTCAGGAAGTGGGCCCTCCACATTCTGATGGGCGGAGCTACAGGCAGACCAGGCAGTTGCTCCTGCACGCTCCTGGAGAGCCCAGATACTGGGCTCAGGCAGCCCTGTGGTAGAGCACTGGCCTTGCCTTGAGAGAGACAGACTCTCTCATCCCATCCCAGCTGAGGACTTGCTACAAAACACGAGCTTGGCAGAGAGTTAAGCATAACTCACACAGACACAGTTAAAAAATTGATATTGTCAAATTCTCCCTTGAAGAATCTTCTTGCAGCAACTCTGAATTGCAAGGTCCCTTCTGACAGTTTGCCTCCATTCTGTCCTTATCCAGTCTTTTGGGCTAAATCTATCAGTTCATTTTTTTCTAACTCTAAAAATCATTAGCAAGGGCTACTTCAGATGACCATTCCAGTGAGCTATGCTCAAGATTAAACTTACTTTAAAGTCAAACTTTAAGAAAAAGAAAGGATATATGAACAAAGATACCTACTTTTTCCCCCCTGACAATAACAAAGCCCATAGACATGGAATTAAAATAATAAATAAGCAGGGATTTCTAGGCAGAGTAGTAAGCTGACGCTGTCAATATTTTTGCACAGGAGTTTATTAAGATAGCAAGTATTTCCTGAAGATCCACCCTGGGTGAGGCTTTGGGCTGATTTTAGAGGTTCCTGGGCCTGGGGACAAGAAAATATTTCTTACATATTTTATTCATAATTCTTGGGAAAATTGTCATTGGTCCTCCCAGGATAGGTGGTCCTTCCTGCTTGGTGCAGGCTGGTCAAGTCTAGGACATTCCTAGCAACAGGAGGAGGTCCCGCACCTCACAGGTTCTCCAGGCGAGAACAAGTGTCCCAATGCTGGCCCCTGTCTCCTCCAGATGTGCAGCTTCTGGCTGTGCCTGCAGTGACTGTCCTCACCATTTGACCTTGTGCAGTGTGGTGTTTTTGGTGGATTTTTTTGTTCACTGACAATGAATAAAAGTGTGACTATACTAAAGGCTCCCATCTTCCTTGACCTGGGAGAAGGCTGGAGAGATGGGGCATGAGAAGAGTTACCTCAGGAATCTCTGTGGTGCCAAGGTCATATTCCAACAAGGATTCTGTGGCTACACAGAACAAGAGACTCACTCTTGCCAGTTCAAATAAAGGGAGGAACTAAGATTACAAGAGTATCTAAGGATGGAAAATCAATAACTGCTGGGCCTCCAGAGGATTGGAACTGGCAAGCTGGCCTCTCCTGCCTCATCTCTGGACCTCACAGATTTCCATTTCCTTGGTAATACGTGCAGCCTAGCTTTCTTCCTTGGTTTATCTTAAAATTGGCTCTCTGTAGAGCCATGGTGCTCAAAGTGGTTGGTTGTATCCCCAAATGTTGTCAAGATCCACCAGGGACAGGCAACCCCTTGGTTCCAGTTCACAAACAAAAGAACTAATTGGTTCAGCTTAGCTTTGGGTCAGATATCCTCTGTTGGCACAGGCTTCTGTGAGCAAACTAGACCCTGAGATGAAAGGCTGATGGTCAGAGCAGTTCTTTCAGAAGGGAGCTAAAAGCAGCAGCGCTTGGAGCTGCCTTTTGTCCAGCAGAAAGACATCATGAGAGTCCAAATGAGTGGCCAGTGGTCAGTGAGGAGAAAGACCAAGAGGAGCTCATGTACATTGTCCACAAATTAGAAAGAGACACTTCCCAAATGAAAGGTGCCCCATAAATATGCAGCAAAATGGTACCACTGGATTGCTTCAAGCAAGATAGCCTTTCTGCACAAATAGGCCTGTTAATGCAAGACTCACAGCACAGCCCCATGAGCAGAGGTTGGATTTCAACTCCCGTCCTTTGCCAGGAGTCATGTAGCACAGGGCCTGCTCCACCTTCTACAGAGCCCAGCCCAGAGCCTAAGGTTCCAATTTAGTGAGAGTTGATGATTGACTGTTCCTCCCTAGAATATCTCCCAGCAGCCAGAGCAGCACTAATTCCTATAAGGAATTGGTGTGGCAGTTGAAGGTGCCTGATTCCTGCTTGTTACGCTCAACTGCTTTTACAAGGGTTTCTTCAAGGACACTTGTGGGAGGCCAGTGCTGTTGGCAGGAAGCAATTAAGGCAAAGAAAGAAGGCTGGCCTGGCCTCAGGGCAACCATAAATCCAAAAAGGTGGCTCAAAAGCCTGAGAATGTGGGGCTGCTATTCCCAGCTGAAGCCACACCTGGGGGATGGGAAGTCCTGCCACCTGCCTACTTTAAGACACACAGGTTGTCACCTCCTAAAGAATTCATCACTCAGGGCCTCTTCCACTCCATCCTGACCAGGTTAATTCACTTTCTACCTCCCGTCTTGCTCTTTGCACCAGTCTGGCTGTTTCTAAGAAGCCACAGTGGTCTTCCTAAAACACTAATCAGACCACTTTAGTTCTTCAAAGGCTCAGCCCTTCCTTCAGCATGAAATTCAGTCTCCTTAAATGACCCTCATGCTGGCAACACTCACAGTAACAGCAAGAAATCAAAAGATATGTTGCATGAGCAAATCTGCTGCCAAGGACCTTTTTTAGTAATAAGACCAAGGATGTCATCTTAAAGACTATGGTGTGCCTGACCCAAACCAGGATATTTTCAAGTGCTCATATGCATGTGAAAGTCGGACAATGAATAAAGAAGACTGAAGAATAATTGATGCTTTTGAATTGTGGTGTTGGCAGGGTATGGACTATCCCATGAACTGTCAAAAGAACAAACAAAGTTGTCTTAGGGAAGTGCAACCCTGGTGCTCCTACAAGGCAAAGTTGGTGAAACTTGGTCTCACATATT